CTATCCAAAGTAACCACTGTTGACACGTTGGTGCATAGCCCTTGATCTATTTCTACACAAGGTAAATACTTTATAAATTAGGTCATACTGTCTGTATTATTTTTTATCTCTTTCACCTTCTAATGTATTGAGCATATCTTCCTCTGTTTACAGTTATAAATAGAGAGGGGGATAGAGAAGGAGAGGGAGATGGATGCTGAAGAAGCTAGCCATTGGTAAGCTTTAGGCCTCCTGAAGGCCTCTCCACCCCTTGCAACAAACCGAATCAGACCAAATCAGGAAAAGCCCAGGTTTAACGGGTAAAGCACTCCCTGGCGATTCCCCAGCCCTGCAGAGAGGAGACAGGGATGTGAGACTGGAAGAACTACAAGTTTGCTTTCTGGGATGCTGCTTATACATACCCTGTGGGAGTCATTTGAGCCTCTCTGGGGAGGAGCTGCGTTTGGCAGGCTTTGAAAGGGCAAGTTTAGGGAAAGAGATGGGGAAGGGAGCCGAGGTGGATCTTCCACCAAACTCCTTCCAAACATTCCAGACTCTTTGGGTATAGGGCTCCTGGGGTGCCAGGGGTTTGAGGTGGAGGTCCCACCCAGTCAGCCATGGCTCAGCTGTTCCCTTCCAAAGAACTAAAGCAGAAAATGGTGCCCAGCTGCTCCCCCCCCCCCTCTTTTTTCCAGACAACAAAGGGGTTTACTTTGGCTTCCGGTTACAGAGGGATAGAGTCCTCCGCGGCAGGGAAGCACTTGGTAACAGCAGTGTCACGCCAGCCTGGTAGTCACTTGCACACAGGAAGCAGAAAGTGAAATCAGAAAATAAAGCCAAGGCATAAAACCTCAAAGCTCACCCGAGTAACTACTCACCCAGCAAGGCTCTGTCTCCTAAAGGTCTCATCACCTCCCCCAAACAGCACCACCAACTGGGGATCAAGTGTTAATGCATTAGCCTATAGGGGACATGGCTCATTCAAATTACCGCGGTACGAGAGGAGGGGATCCAAGAAGCGGCCTCCCAGTTTCTCAGGCTAGCAGTATTTCATCTCACTGGGAATCTACTTCTTGTCTGCCCTGCCTTCTCATTCATGCTTCATGGGCACTATTTTGTCTGGTGGAACATGCAGGCATCACGCTATCACCTGGAGGGTGCAAAGGTCAGCTCACTGAAGTGTATATACACTGACCAGCATTTTTTGTAATTTTTCATTTTTTTCTTCTCTCTTATATTACATCCCAACTGTACTTTTTCCTCCCTCTCTCCCCTCTGCCAATCGCTCTCCCCACCTCCCCTTTTCCCTAGATCCACCCTCCTCTGCCTCCCTTCAGAAAAGAGCAGGGCTCCCAAGGATATCAACCAAACAGCCTAACAAACAACAAACAAACAGCCTAACAAACAACAGTAAGACCAGGCACATGCCATCACATCACATCAAGGCTGAAGGAGGTAACCCAGTAGGAGGAATAAGGACACACAAGCATTTAAAAGAGTCAGCGACAGCCCCCACAAGAAGACCAAGCTACACAACATAACATATGAGAAGGACCCAGGTCAGACCCCTACAGGCCCCCTCATCTCTGTGAGGCCCCGTGAGTCCTAGTCAGTTGACTCTGGGGGCTATGTTCTTGTGGTGTCCCTGACCCCTGTGGTGTCTCCATTTTTTCTTCCCTCTCCTCTGCAAGATTCCATGAGCTCCACCTAATGTTTGGCTGTAGGACTCTGCATCTGCTCCCATCAGTTGCTTGATGAAGTCTCTCTGGTCTCTTTGGTGATGATTCTGCTAGGCTCTGGTCCCAGAACATTGTGCAGTCAGGATAAACTGCAGGTCAAAGGTTTTGTGGCTGGGTTGGTGTCCCAATCCCTCCACTGAGGCCTTGCCTGGTTACATAAGAAAGCCAGTTCAGGCTTGATATCAGTAGGAGTCTTTGCTAGCTTTGCTCTCATAGATTCCATGGAGTTTTCATTGCACTAGGTTTTTACCTCGCCCTCAAAATGTCCCCAATTCCAGTCATTTCTCCCAGTACCTCCCCCCCACACACACACATCCACCTGATCCCTCTTGTTCTCAACCCTACCCGCACTCAGTTCACTTGTGAAATATATTCTATTTCCCCTTCTCGGGAAGAACCTTGCCTCCACCCCACTCCCCTTGTTACTTAGCCTCTCTGGGTCTGTGGATTGTAGCATGGCTATCCTTTACTTTACAGCTAACCTGTAAATGAGACTATAACATGTTCGTCTTTCTGGGTCTGGGTTATCTCACTTAGGATGATTTTTTTTCTAGTTCCATTCATTTGTCTGCAAATCTCATGATGTTATTGTTTATCTTTATAGCTGAGTAAGTACTCCTTTGTGTAAATGTACCACATTTTCTTTATCCATTCTTCAGTTGATGGACATCTAGGTTGTTCCCAGTTTCTGGCTAGTATGAGTAAAGCTGCTATAAACATGGTTGAGCAAATGTTCTTGGGGTAGGATGGAACTTCCTTTGGGTATACACCCAGAAGTAGTATAGCTGGGTCTTGAGTAGATCAATTCCCAATGTACTGCTGCTTTTTGAGGATGATAATAACAGAACACTGAAAACCTGCACAAGAAAAACTGAGACAATAACATGGGGAAATATTACAGCCCGCCACTTTTCCCTGCAGGGAAGTGAGCACAGAGGAGTCTCCCTTCTGCAGGGTTTAACATCACTGTGGATACCTAGTAGAAAATTTCAACATCCTCAAGACTTGCAGCCTACCAATATGAGTAACTTAAAATCTAGAGCATGATTACGTTGAATACTTCGTATTATCTCGAAGCAATTAGGCAGGGCATTGCGCCATCCTAAGAAGGGTCTGAATTTAGAGTTTTCTAGGAGTCTTCATTGCACTGACCCAACAGGAAGCTACCTTGTTAACAAAACTTGGCTAGATAGAGTTACTCTGACTCAAACTCATCCCACATTATAGGGGAATTGTTATCTCATGGGCAGCATGGGTGGCATTATTGGAGAGAATCAGAAGGTCAGGGTGCCAGTCCTTTGAGATTAGCATAATCCTGTCTGGATTTCCGCTAATGTCAGAACTAAAAGAACTCACCCATGCAGTTCACATCATCCCTCCCTCAAGCACAACACAAAGCTATCTGTTGGAGCCCAGGAAAAGAGCTCCATGGTTCAAATCCAGGCCTGCATACAGGAGCATGTTGGGACAGTACTGATCAGTGTGGTGATTCCAACAATTGCCTTGCTTTTTGTGTGTACTTTAAAGATGTCCAAAGAAAACTATGCTCAGTGTTGACAGTATGTATTCTCTTGCTTCACTGGCATTTTAACTGAAAGTCTTTCGGGGAAAGCCCTAGTTATGACAACAGTGACAGGCACATTTGACCGCTGTGGGCTGAAGGTTCCACTCCTAAGTAAATCTACCCACAGTGAAAGCAGAAAGGAACATTACAGTGTGTGATCTCACCAACCCTATGCAGTTGCATCCCTGGACATACCCACACCTCATTCAATCATGTATTCTGAAAGGACTGTCTGATTTCCACAGAGGCAGTGCATCAGTTTCTGCCTCCATTTGTGAAACATCTGAACCAACACACCAACCACTTTGAAGAAGTGCTTCAGTCTGTCCACTCACCACTGCTGAGGCAGCCAGTACTTCAAATAATGGAACCAGAATTACCAATGCCCAAGGAAACTACAGTCACCCGATAGGGGCTATCACTTCTGCTGTAAACATTAGCTACACTATTACACCACATTCTCTCTTCAATTTATAGTGTAACTGTCTGAACTGCAGGTTTCTTAATTCTTGTAAAACTGCAAAGATTGTGGACCTCACCAATTCTGACACAATATGTACTATGCTTAACTGATCAAAGACAAAGAATACATTTCAGTGCAACACTGGAGATGTATTTAACATCCCAATAGAAAATAAATTCAACAGCTATCTTCAGGAGAAAGCTACTTACTATGAAGGCAATCCCCTAAAAGTGGTAGAGATGCCCAACGTGTGCATCTCTCACTGGGAGAATATAAGCAATAAAAGCAAAGAAAGCAATGATACGACCAAAGATAACGACTCTCGAGCAACGGGTTCCACAGAAGTCAGGATGGATGGAGTACCTGCTAATGAATTCCAAAGAATGATTTTAATAATTTCAGTGAGATCAAAGAGACTATAAATAAATGATTAAATGAAATTAGAAAGACAGTAGGATACAAATAAATTCATTGAAGATTCAAACTTTATTTTGGAAAACAGAAACAAAAATTTGGGAAATAAAATGTTCAATGTATTAATCAAACTTTCATCATTGTAATTAAATACCTGATGGAAACAGGTAAGGGAGGAAGGACTTCTTTGGGCTTATGATTTCACAAATTTCAGCCTATGGTAGCAGGAAGGACATGGCAGATCAAAGCAATCCACCCCAGCTTGGGTGGGAAACAGCAGTGGGTGCTCCTTTCTCTTTCATTCAGTTTAGCATCTTAGCTACAGAAGTGATGCCTCTCACATTCACCCGTTACTAAACCCTTTTGGAAATGTGCTTATTAATACACCCAGAGGTAAGTCTGAATCTGCCAGATAATTCTAAATCAAGTCAAACTGACAATGAAGATTATCCATGGCATTCCACAGACAAATCAAAAATTAATTTGAAAGTTTGAACAGACTAGATCAAACAGAAGAAAGAGTATTCAAATATTCAAGACTGCCCTTTGAATATCACATTAACAGAGAAATAAAAAACAAAAAAAGAATAAAGGGATTATTCAAGGTCTTTAGGACACTATGCAATAATAAATAATTCATATCAATGGAAAATCCTACCATGAGGATATAAAGGGGAAGGACATTGAGAATCAACTGTGTAAAATAATATCATAAAGCTATTATTTAAAAGTATACTATTATGGACAAAAACATTTGTGTACAGTAGTCATTTAGAATGCCAAATAGACGTGTCTAGAAGGGGCCTTCATGAGAATGTATTATAGTTAAACTGTCAAAAGCTGAGCATACAAAGGTAGACTTTAATGTTTAAAAGAAAAAAAAGTGTGAAGTTACATATAAAGTCATTTCCATTAGATTAACAACAGATTTCTTTGCAGAAACTTTACATTCCAATAAGTAATGTTTTCATGTCCTGAATATTGCTAACCAATATTGCTATTCCTAGCCAGGTTATCTTCTAAAAATAAAGAATAATAACTCTGAGAGACAACCAAAGATTAGGACAACTCATGATCACCAAAGCAGTCTTACAAAAGACATTTAAGGGAGTCCTACATCCATAACTGAAAGAAAACTAATTGTCATTTTGATATAATGTGAAAATAAAAATTATAAAAGAGTACATGCAAAAAGAATATTTTAAAATGAATCAAACATGTAAATTCAGTAAAACTGAAAATGTAAATACAAATTAAAGAAAATAACAACATTCAAAACAATTAGAAGAACAACAAAAGGATAGCAAAAGTCTATACCCTTCAATAATGACATTGAACATAAATAGACTAAATTCTTCAATTAAAATACACAGATTGGCTGAGTAGATAAACAAAACATCCAACATACTACCTGTGAGAAACTCACTTCAGCAGTAAGATACACAGAGATAGAAAGAAAAGATTGCAAAGCTATACTACAAACACATGGAATCAAAAGGCTATATGGAATAGCTAAATGTACATAAGAAAACACTAAATTTTAAAGGAAAAAATGAAAACTGGCAACAAGGCCATTGTATAATAATATAGAAATCAGTAAAAAAAAAAAAGATAAAATAATTATTATGAGCATGGGTGAATCTAATATTAGAACACCCAACTCTATAAAACAAGCACCATTAGGGAAGAAGTGCACTCCAGTATACTATTAATGCAGAATTTCAGTTCCTCACTCTTATCATGAGTACATTATCCAGAGCAGAAAAACTACCACAAAGAAGCATCAGAGTTAAACTATGTTATAGATCAACAGACATAGACAATTACTGAGTCTTTGATTCAATAGCTATAGAATATACATTCTTTTTTAAGATACAGATAATATTTTCTTTAATAAAAACACATGGAACTTTACAATAGACTATATAGTATACCAAAAGTATATTTTAAATTTTTCAAAATTTCTTTTGCTTGGGAAGCAAAAGAAAGGAAATCATTGTGAGTTTGAGGCCATTTTGATCTACACAGTGAGTTCCTGGACAGCCAGGGATACATAATGAGATCCTGTCTCAAAAAAGAAATAGAGAAAAAATAAATACTTTAAGCATAAGAATATATGTTTTAAAAATTCTAAATTATTTAAGTAAATTTTTGTCTCTTACCTGATCATAATGAAGTGAAACTTGATGTCAGCAGCAACGGAGTTTTGTAAACTGTACAAAGATGTAGAAACTAAACAGCATAAATTTGAACAAATATGAAGTTAAAAAAAGAAATTTAAATATTATTTGGAAAAAAGAAAACACAAAATAATAAAACTGAAAACTGCACTAAAAAGAAATCATAAAACTGGTTGTCCACATTGAACAGTTGAAATATTTACATTTATAAACCTAATGACATGTCTACAGCACTTAGAAAATAAAGAATAAACCAAACCAAAGCTATAAGAAGGAAAAGAATAATAAAGATTAGGGACAAGATAAGTGAAATAAAACTAACAGGTAACAAAATGATGATGAAACAGAGATTGGATCATTGAAAAGAAAAATTAACAAACCTATGACTAAACTGGAAATAGAAAATCAAATAATTAAGATTATAAATACCAAATAAGTTATTGCACATGATACCATGGAAATACAAAGGACCAACAGGGATTATTTTGAAAAACAACATGCCATAAAATTAGAAAAATCTTGAATTATTGGAGCTATTTAAGAAGATATATACCCACCAAAATTGAACCAAGAAAGCAAGGAGTGGTATGTGGGAGAACTTGGAAAGAGGAAAAAGAAGGGGAAAATTTTGTAACTATATTATAATTTCATAAATTAAAAAAATTAAAAACCTAACAGAATAATAATGAAGAAAGTGAATCAGTGGCGCAGAGTTTCCTAACAATGGATGCTCATGGTCAGATAGCACCACTGCTATTTTTATCGGACTCTTTTAGTGAAGAATTAACACCCAGAATTCTCAAGCAATTTAGCAATATTAAAATGTAGGAATCTAGCAAAATTTATCTGCGAGGCTAATATTATCCCATTAGGGAAACCTGGCAAAGGCACAGTCACAAAGAGCAAATTAAAGTCCATAAACAGGAAAGATACAAATAATGTTATCTTCTCAACAGACGCAGCAAAAAGTATTTTCAAAAATTTCAATATCCTTTTATGATAAATGTCTCGCGCAAAACAAATATAGAATAGTCATATCTCAACATCATAAGGACTGGATCTAATAAAGCCACATTGTACACAATACTGAATTAAGAGACTGGAAGCATTCTCACTAAACCAACCGGAATAGAAAGCTGTCTATTGTCACTATTCTTATTAAATACAGTTTTAATAGTTTTAGTCAAAGCAAGTAAGAATGAGAAAGAAATGAAAGACATGAATACGAAAGGAAGTATGCAAATTGTCCTTGTTTGACTATGAAATGATTTGATAGGCAAATAATCTACAGATTCAACCAAAAGATGAATAGAATTCATAAATAAATCTGATAAAGTAGCACGATAAAAAAAAAAAAAATTCTTAACCCTGTAGCTTCTGATCGCTCTAGCTAAGACTTCAAGCACTATGATGAGCAGAAGTGACAAGAATGGACATCATAGTCTGCTTCCTGATATTACTGGAACTGCTTTGAGTTTTCTCCCTATTTAACATGTTTACAGCCATTGACTTGCTGCATGTTGCCTTTATTATGTTGAGGTTTATTTTCTGTATTCCAAGAGAAGGAGATAAATTGGACAAATAGAAAATAAAGAAGCTAAGGTATCATTATTTAGGGATGATAATTCTATATATGAAAGACCCAAAAGATTCTACCAGAAAACTCCTACAGGTGATAAATACAATCTGCAAAGTAACAGGATGCAAAATTAACACACAACACTCAGTAGCCTTCATATATCAGTAGTCTTATATAACAACTGCAAGCCTTCTGAGAAAAGCCAAGGAATCAGCACATTTACAACAGCTTCAAATGCATCAAAATATCTTGGAGTAAATTTAACCAAGGGAATGAAAGACTTGTGCAATGAAAATGTAAGAAAGACACTGAAGGAAGAAACTGAAAAGACAGCCCCCAACCATGCTCATGGAGTAGTAGGATATATTTTGTGAAAATGTCCATCCTACCATGAGCAACACACAGATTAAATGCAAGAATTTGAGAGAGAGGGGGGATATAGTTAGGAGGGCTTTGAGGGAGGAAAGGAAAAGGAGAAATGATGTAATTATAATCTCAAAAAATAAAAGGAAAAAAATACTATTGAGAAAAGACAGCATCTTCAATAAATTTCTAGCTTCTAAAAAGGCCAGGAAATCTGGATATCTACATGCAGAAGATTGAAACTTGATCCATATCTCTCAGCTTGTGCCAAATGCAACTCAAAATGCATCAAGGACATTAATGTCAAACCTGGAACTCTAAAAACTGTTACAGGAAAATATAAGGGAAATATTTCATGGTATTGGAACAGGCAATGATCTGGATATGACCAAAATGCACAGGAAACAAAAGCAAAGACTAATAAGATTACATCAAACGAAAAAGCTTATGAATAAAAATAGAAACAATAAACAGGGTGAATAGCCAATAATCAGGAAAACTCTCTGCCAGCAATTTATCTGACAGAGGGTTATATGCAGATTATGTAAGAATATAAAAAAATAAATAAACAGTATAAAAGAAGCTATGTGCCTTAAGCAGTGGATAAATAATCTAACTAAGCATCTTTTTGGTTAAAATTTCATTATATTATTTAATTATGTGTTTGTATGTCTGCATCTGTGTTTGTGTTTATACATATGCATGCTTCACAACACACCTGTGAGGTCAGACAACAACATGGAGGAGTCAGTTCTCACCTCCTACCATGAGAGTCCAAAAGATCAAACCCAAGCTGTCAGACATGGCAGGAAGCACCTTCACCTGTTGTGCCATGGGCCAGCTATGATCTTAGAGGAAACATACAAATCTCTCCCTCTCTCTCACACACAAACACACACACACACACACACACACACACACACACACACACACACACAGGAAGATGCTCAGTATCTTTAACCATCAGGGAAACATAAATAAAACTAAAATGAGACCCCCATCTCATATTAGTTAGAATTCCTATTAGAAAAACTATTTGTATATACAACACAGGTGGGAATGTAATTTTAGCCACCCAGTATTGAAATCACTGTTAAAATTCCTCAAAAAGCAAAAACTATAGCTGTCATATAATCAAGGTATTCCACTCCTGGGCATATATTCAAAAGAAATAAAATCAAAATATAACGGAAATAACTGTACATCCAAGTTTATTGTGACACTTTTCACAAAAGCCAATTATGGAATCATCCAGGTGCCAATCAACTTATGAATGGAAAAAGACAATATTGTATATATACTTGATTGTGTATATATACACAAATGAATATTGTTCATCTATGAAGAGAAACTTAAAAAATCAACCCGAAAACTAAAAAGTTATTGCTAGGGACTGGTAAAGGTGCTGGAGTTGGAAGGTCAAGGGTGAAGATATATGGCTAGATATAATTAATGTATGTACTAAAATATCACAATACACTCAATTACTGCAGACCGTTATATTAATAAAATAACCAATATATGAAAAAGACTAAGTCTCTTTGTAAACCACTGTGTAATATACTATGTGTATTTTTAACTACCAATGCTGTATATTTTGGATATTTTAATTGTTCAAAAGTTTCTTGTAATTTATATATGAAAAACAGAGTACTTTAAGGCCATGGGTAATAATATACCAGTGCTTCTTCTGTCTGAAAACTAAGTTAACACAGATAATTTTAAATAAACATGTTAAAAATTTTCTAAATACACTTTTACTATGAATGAAATCTTAAATTATTTTTCCCACAGCCATATAATTTTATTCAATGCACAAGTGTAGTTTTTTTCTATCCTTCAATAATAAAAAGACAGATTATTAAAAGCGAAGTTATAATTAGAATTAATTGCACTAAAAATAAGAGATATTTCAGTTTTTACTTTAAATGTTAAGAAAAACTTTAAATAAAAACAATGATTAATGTAATTTTAAAATACATAAAATTGAGTGATTATTTTTCATGAGATAATTGTCACTGTAGATGTCAAAACCACAAAGTAAAACAGCAGAAATAAAAACACAAAAGTAGCATGAGAAACACATTTGCTCACATATAAAGGAAGAAAGATCAGAATTACCTGGACTCCTAATGATATTCTGCTATACTCATAGATCAGTGCCTTATCCAATCATCAGAAAGGATTTCTCCAGCAGCAGATGGGAAAAGATGAAGAAATCCACAGCCCAAAATTACAAAGAGAAAATCTAAATGGGAGATCTGCATCAGATCCTTCCCCTCAGAGCTTAGGGAATTACACAGAAGAGGAGACAGAAAGATTATAAGAGCCAGAGTGGATAGAGGACACCAGGAGAACAAGGCCTCTGAATCAACCAGGCACATGTGAGCTCGCAGAGACTGAAACAGCAACACAGGACGACATGGGTCTGCACCAGGTCCTCTGCATCTACTATATAGTTATTAGCTTTGTATTTTTATAGGACTCCAGACTATGAGAATAAGTGGTCTCTGACTCTTGTACCTGCTCTGAGGACTCTTTTCCTCCTGTTTGATTGCCATGTCTAACTTTGATATGATGGTCTTTGTCTATCTTACATATTTCATCATGTTTGTTGTTATCTCTTAGAAGCCTGTCAATTTCTAATGAGAGAGAAAGGGAGTGGATCTGGAGGGCAGGGGAGGTGGGGAAGAACTGGGAAGTTAGAGAGAGGAAAAACTATAATCAGGACATACTGTACGAGATAAGAATCTATTTTCAGTAAAAGAAAAAATTAAAAAGCTAAGATATATCAAATAAATAACATAATGGTGCACTCTGGGGCTCTTAAAAACATTAAGGAACCAATCCTAAACCTAGTATACAGCAAGAAATAATTAAGATTGGGGGGAAATTAATGAAATAGATAGTAAAAAATACAATAACCCAAATCAACCAACCAAATGATATTGATAAATGCTTCGTCAGTTTGAGAAAAATAAAGAGAAAAAAATAAACAGAATTAGAGGTCAAAGTGGTATCATTAGAACCAACTCAAAGGAAGCAAATACTTGTGCAACTATAAACAAGAGGATTCTGTGCATTGCTTATGATGATGCAAAATAAGCCACTTCACAAGGCAGGTTGGCAGTTTATTACAACACTACATATAATCATAAAAATAATACAAA